AGTAAGTTTAATTCAACTACGCATTTATCATGAATAATATTATTCCAGGAGGGTACTGAGTTAACTTTATTGAAGATGTTACTGAATTTTTTGAAGCAGTTAGAGTAACTACTGATGACATGATTGTGTCGGGAAGCGACCTCGTCAAAGAAGGCAGGTCTGAAGATTTTTACCTTGAAAAGTTCTTTTGCAGTTACAAGATAAATTCTCTTAGCAACGGGGAGTTCATAAGAGATGGAATGTAAAATTGATGTTGGTGTTGAGGGGGACAAACCGGTACAACGTCTTAGGATTGAGTGTTGAAAGGTTTGTATTTTTTAATGTATACGCAGGAGCGTTACACGATGTAGAGTAGGGATATTCAATTTTGGATCTAACAATAGATTTGTAAACGTTTAATGCTTTCCTAGGTGGGAGTGTGGTGTGAATGTTGGTCAGAAGTTTGATGACATTTGAGCCTGTGTTGCAATTTTCGAGGCTATCCTTGTAATGCTCATGCGTGGTTAAACTTGAGTTGATTATTCTGCCCAAAAATTTAAAAGAGGAAGACGGACTGATTTTTATACCATTGATTGTAATGTAAAAAATTTTTTTGGGATCCTTAGCAAAGCGAATGACTTTTGATTTTTCCGGGTTGAAAGTTAGATTTAAGTCTGCACAAAGTTTGTGAAAAAGATTGGCTTTAGTGTCGAGGTTACGGACTGCTTCCATTAATGATTTTCCAGCAGAGATGATGAGGAAATCGTCAGCATATTGAAATAAATGGGTAGAATTGTCCTGTAATTGATGTAAACCGGCTGTGTATAAATTGAAGAGAACTGGGCTGAGACAGCTACCTTGAGGTAAGCCTCCACAAACTTCGACTGTATGTGAATCTAATACGAGAGTTCTCGAGGAAAGAAAGTTGAGAACTCAATGCCTATTTTGTGTCGGGATTTTAAAATCAGATAGAATTTGGTCCAGTTTCGCTAAGTTTACACAGTCGTAAGCTTTATTAATGTCTAAGCAAAGCATGACTACCTGGTTCCCATTTGTTTTTTCATTTGCAATTTTGAAAAGGACTTCATTAAGGCACATACCGGTGGAGATATTTTTTTGGTAAGCAAAGGACCTTGACGGGAGAAGGTGTGAGTGATTCAGGAATTTTGTTAGTCTTTCATTAATCATTTGGTTGGTAATTTTTAGAAGAACAGGCAAGAGGGATATGGGTCTGAAGTTAGTGAATATTTCAAGATCTTTTCCGGGTTTAGGAATGGGCATTATTTTAATTGTACCGCAAACGGTGGGAAACGAGTTGGTCATCCAGCGCTCATTTATAGCAGATAGCAGGGTTAGAAGGCTTGGCATGGGAAGGACATTTATCATTTCATATTTGATTCCGTCATGGCCTGCTGCTGTGGACTTCTTTTTCGACTTAAGGACGTGCATGAGTTCATCAAGGGAGAATGGAGAGATGTTTTTCATCCGAGAGTTAAGTAAGGAGGTTTGGAGACCACATGTCGAGGGAACTTGAGCTTTCAGCCATTCAAGGTAGGATTTGTTGTTCAGATCATCCCAAATGGGGTTTTTGTATTTCTTTTTTGTGGTGCGATGACCATTTAAAAATTTCTACAATGGCTTTGTATTGCTATTTGAGCATAGCTCTTCGATAACGAGGGCTCGGTGGCATCTTTTGGCTTTTCTAATCGATTTCTTCCATTCTTTTTGTGATAACTTGAAATCTTCAAAATTAGAAATATTGGGGTATTTGGAAAATTTTTGTTTAGCAGCCTGTAATCTACGGAATTGTGAAGTGAGCAGCTCGTTCCACCAAGGTTTTGGTGAGTAGGAATTCGAGATTTGGATGTCGGATTTGGCGTTAATTATTTCTTGTTGAAATGAGCACTGGATAGATTCGACCTGTGGCTCAAGACATACGTGAATAAGATTATTTAGGAGTTTTTTCCTCGAGATAAAGTCATTTATCTTGTACGAGGTAATAGAGGTGGCATTAAAGAGAATAGGAAGGTGGTGGCTGTTTCCCAGGAAAATTTCTTTTTTAACCTCCCGTTTGAATGTGAGATGGGTTGCGTTAGTGAAAGTAAGGTCCAACACGCTACCACAATTGTTGGTCGTAGAGTGAAAATAGGTTGGTGAATTATCATTCAGACAATAGAAGTTACTAGCTTTAATGATTTCTTGCAAGGCTTTGCCTTTATTTTTTGACACGGAGTCACCAAAGCAAGGGTGTCTTGCATTGAAATCTCCTGCAATTATGACATTGTGGAAACTATTGAGCATATCACAGAGACGATTGAAGTCATCCCGGAAAGATTGAATGGGGATGTTGGGCTTGAAATAGCAAACAGCAATGACGATATTAGGTTTTAGACAAGAGGTTTTGATAATGACAATGTCAGCAGTCGATTTAAATGCGATTTGTTTGAAGGATATGCCTTTTCTGGCAAGGATGGCAACACCCCCATAGCCGTCACTTCTACATTTATAAGCGGAGTTGTAATTTGAGATTTTGAGATCGGAAATGTTTTCATTGGACAGAAAGATTTCACTCAAGATGGCGAAATCAGTTCGGTTGGAATTTATGAAAAAATCAAGAGAATGGGCATTACGCCTGAAGCTTTGTATGTTATACTGTAGGAAGGACGTCATAAGAAATGTTAGAACATGATAGGGCCGACCCAGATGTACCTTGTTTTAAAAGATCAAATTTGATTTAAGGGAACTTATTTCTGTTTGGATGGTTTTAAGCATGTCTTCTTGAGAAGAGATGGAGAGAATCCTGGAAATCTTTTCCAGAATTATCTCCATTTCAGTGGATTTATGGTAATTGATGAAAGTATGCTTTTCAGGGGGTGGGGTAGGTTTTTTTGGCTCCTGCGACTTATTACTGTAGGTCGAGGGCGTCTTGAGAGACATTCTATGCAAGGACTTGGGAATACTTGTTTTATTTTTTAAAACTGCATTGATGTTTTTGTTAATTAAAATATTATTTGTATCAATAGTAGGGTCTCTGATATTGTTAGGAGCATTGCTGTCCTTCATTGCTGGGAAGTTTACGTCATAGTTTTCAAGTAAATTGTATGGGTTGTTAGAGAATTTCTCTTTGTATTCTCTAAAAGATAAGTTCTGGATGATTAAAATTTTTTTTAAATTTTCCTCTTTCTTTCTTTTTGGACACTCTTGAAATGTTACGTTGTCGTCCAGCGACCCGCAACCTAGACATTTGATTGAGAGGCATGAGTCCGTAGGACAGGCCGGTGACTTGCCACAGTTCAGGCATCTGCTTTCCTTACTTTTGCAGAATTTGGCGATGTGACCAAATCGGCCGCAATTATAGCAGAGCCTGACGGAAGGAATGAAGTAGTCAACTGGAATATTGCAATAGTTGAATTTTATACTCTTGGGAATTAGTTTACCCTTGAAACCAATTTTTAGGCTGTTTGTTGGGATGAACATTTCTCTGCCTGCAGGGTCTCTTCTGAAGATTCTTGTAACAGAAATGATTTCAATATCAGACGTAGCTGAGTTGAGAAAGTCCTCTTCCTTAATTGAAGGTGGAATGTTTTTTACGATCCCAAATTTTTCTGTGAAAAGATGTAGGCCTTGCAAGACTTTGGACCAAAATCATTGTTTATTATAAAGTTGTTGGCATCAACCGCAGTGGCAAAACCAAGTTTGGCTTTGCCATTGCTGATGGTTTTGATATTAATCAAACCATCCAATTTGAGATCTTTGATGTGTTCGAAAAAAAATAGAAAAGGTTTCTTTAGGTTATTGTTACATACTTCAATGAATACGTAGCACTCACCGGTCGTGTCGTCACTATAACGATTTGGACTAGTTGGGTCAGAGCTCTTTCCTTTTATGGGACTACGATTATTGTTACTGTTCACAGAGCTGTCTTTATTGGGAGGCCTATTCCTAGAGGGAGCGATCGGGGACTTTAAGGAGGTGATATTGACATCCTCAGTCAAGTCTTTTACAGATGAATTGTTCTTATCAGAGATGATCTTTTTGAGACCTTCGTTCTGGGCTGTGATTTTTCTTTTAAATGAACCCTTGCTATGCGTGATTCGAACAAAATTTTCGAAATCATCATCGTTTGATAACATGTTTGAGAGCCTCACCCCCTTGAGGGGCGGGCGACTTTTAGGTTTCGTGCTAGATTAAAGGCAAGAGAAAAGGATCAACTGACTTACCGAGAAAAGAAGGGATATGGAAATCAGCCGTTTTTGGTGGAACCGACAGAGACAGAGAAGAACAAAGCCTTGTAAGTTAAAGCAGTTTTAAGAATTTGACAGGAATCGCCGCTACTTGATGTCCAATGTACAGGTGAGTTGACGAAGTGAGTCTTGTCAGGATGAGGTTGAAGACAGCAGGTGGTGCTGCGCAATTTGCGGAGAAGCACAAGGACGTCGAAGCCTTTGTTGATTTTGTTTAAATGCCGCAACTTCACTATATATATTTTCACTACTTCAAGAGTTTTCAGAAACAAAAAAAAAAGGAGAATTTTTTCTTTTTTTGTTGAAAAAAAAATTTATTTTTCAAGAATTTTCTGCAAGAAAGCGTCTTATTTCATGCAGAGTTGCCGAGCGTTTTTTGATTGAGTAACTACAAAAATGGACTAAAGTGTTTATACGAAAATACATCACTGTTTTGATTGTCAACGTACACGCACGCAAAATTTTTAAATCTTGCAAAAAATTTGTGTTCTCCCACAATGAAACGGAAATTGCGCAAATGGAAAATGTAGAAAATTTCAATGCAAATTGACATAAATGATGAAAAGATGAAAAGAAGAAGGAAAATGAAGAAGAAATGTAATCATCATTTCGTACGCACAAAAAAAAACTGTTATACAATTGTTATACAACTGTTATTTAAATCTTGAATTAAATAAATACTTTTTATTTTCATGTATATAATGCAATTGAATTTAAGTAAATAGCAGAAAAATTGTCAAATATTTCTTCACGTTATTTTTTTTCTTGTTAATATAGATGAGGAAAGAAATGACGGTTATCTTTTTGATGCGAATCAGAAGAATGGACAACATCATATCGAAAGCGAGCAGGATGTAATGGAGGAGAATATTCTAAAAAACAATATGGTGGAAACCTATACTTACGACAAACAACGGTATTTATGGGCTAAGATAACGTTTAAAGTAAGTTACTTTTGCATTTTAATAACTTGTCAATCTTTTAAAACTTACGCAAGGAGTTTCTTTGTTTCCTAATACGACTTAATTAGGCTCCGTCCAATGCATTGTTAAATGCAAAACTTTATTTACAAAATAATTATACTTCTACAGTTAACGGAAATTATGTACGGAAATTAGACATTGTTTATTTCATTAATTATAAAGCATTCCAAAGAAAGCCACGAATACATTTCGTTCTAACGTTCTTCCCCTTGCATGCTGGGCTTCTTTGTCAAAAAAATTTAATCACTTGTAACTTTGTGTGGGCAAGGCCGTTTTTTTTCATTTTTGAACGTAAAGGGTAGAGTGCTTCGAAAAGGAAAAGTGGAAAATTTCAGCCTTCTAACTTTAATAATTGTCTGAGTAACGAGCAAAAACACACAAATTTATGTTAAGACGCGTTCATTTTATGCACCATTTTGGGTTTCTGCTCTGACTAAGTTGGCCCATTTCCAATACCGATGTGCGTGCAAAATCTGCCAATATTTCCGCCAAATTTGTAGTTGATATCTTCATTTTTGTGAATGCCAGCATCAAACGCCACACAGACACACAGACGGCAGACACGGCCAAACCAGAATTTTACGCTGATCAAGAATATCTATAATTTATAGGATCTCTGAAGGCTTCCTCTTGGGGGTTACATACATTATAACAAAAACAAAATGAGTATATCCCCATCTTACAATGGCTAAAATAAAGTCTTAAACTATAAATTAAGGAATCGTTACTTGTCGTGTACAACATGCTCTTTCTCTTATTGAGAGAGAACAAGAATAAGTTTAAAAGAGAATGTGGAGTAAGTAAAATCCGTGATATATTGCATTTTAGAGGGTTTTGAAGTAGTTCATGTGTATTGTCATTTTATCGCATATACGATTTTCGTAAACAATTAGTATTCACATGGCGGGCACGTTTTTTAGAAAAATTATGAAACATTTGTAAAATAAAAAGATTTTTAAAAGCCATTGTCAAGCTTATATGTAGTGTCTGCTTATTCAATGGAAAGCAAATATTTGCGTATTCTGCGTTAAACTTAGCAAATAAGAAAACTATATTCGCCGGTAACCAAATCTTTTATACCCGCCACCTTTGTCGAAAAAAAAAAAATTGAATTTCGGTGCTCTATAACACTAACTGTGCGCGCACAATTTTTCTATTTTCGTACCGGTACTGTTTGGACCGCCCACAAAATACACAAATTTGTATTGTTACAATTTCTTAATAATGACCAAGAAACCCATTTATTGGCATTTGAAAATCGAGATGTTCTAAAAGGGCGTGTCCTGTGCTAAACATATATTTGATCGTAAAGATTGTAAGCTGTTGATCGTAGGTTGGTGTCGAAAATAGGTCACATCGGGCAAAGGACGCGCTCGCAATACAATGTACATTGAAAACATTTTGTTCACAAGAAAAAAATTGGGTTAAGTTGTCCATTAATGCAGTAAAGACCGGAGTTTCTCCGCTTTGTATAAACATGGGGAAAGTTGAAAACAAGATTCGTCCTTACCTATGAACATAATTCATTTACTTGCTTTTTTTTATAATCATGTAAGCGCGGTAGAAGATATCTTCGTCAGAGATCAGAGTATAGGCAAATTTTTTGGAAGGACAAACTACAAAATTCGATGGACTTTTTACTACATTTTGTTTACAATCTCTTTCTTTAATCATTTTTTAAAAACCGGTGGTTTCATAATGTAGGCGGTTATTATCATTATTATTATTATAAAAATCACAAAATAAAGTAAAGAGAGAAAAGAGATAAGAACACTAATTGAAATATATAAATATGTTTGTTATCAATCGAGCGTTCGTACATTCCAATTTCCATGGTTGCAGTCCGTCCTTCAAAACGTGTGCTCGTCCATTCGTGTAATCGGCAGATCCCCTTCCTCTCATAAGCTTACCTTCAATTTCTTCATTATGAACTTGCAACACTATGCAACAAAACCATTGCAACGAACTCTAATAAGGGCGTGTAATTTAAAGCTTTCGTTTTCACAGTTAAAAAAAAAAACATCACTAAGTTATTACACGTTGTTTTTCGAAGGCGACAAAGAAAGTGTACGTTTTTCCGTTAAAGGTTTATTGTACATTAGGACCAGCAACTAACAATTTATAAATGCGATTTATTGTATCCAACCTTATGAGAAATTGAAATAGTGCTGACGAAGCATTCAAAGTCCCCATCGCTTTACGTTTTTAGGGTTGTTATTAATATCCCGTTTCTCTTTTATTTGCTGTATTGTCATTGTAGTTTACTATCCAAAGAAATTTACTACAGATGTAAATTCTATTTTAAAATCGTACGCCAACCTGGCAGATTAGCGTTGTAATCGACTTGCTCGAGTAGCGATTTCAGAGTCTCCTAAAAATTGCTAATAAATAATAGTTTAAGTTTAACTTTTCATACATATTGTGGAATTTTGTAACAGCAAACACTGCAACAAGTCCCTCTTTTTCGATTTGGCTACAAGATTTCTCCAAGGATGTAAGTGCTTTGAAAGCGCGACATCGTTTTTACGTAACGTAAGCAGCAGCAGTAATTTGCGTTGTTGTAGGATCCTTACGTGTGAGTAACAAATTTAATAAAAGTACTTGTTTTGATTGCTTAAAGTTGTTACTGTTGACTTTTGTTCATCGTTATTTCACTCTCGGGACATAAATATTTGGTTTAGTTTCGCACCTAATTTTGGTGGTAAATGATAAGATTGAGGAAAAATATTCAATATATTTGCGTTATTTTTCCGCATGTGGAAATTTTGCCATCACAGCTACAGCGATCGCTGCCATATCCGAAATGTGATGCCTAAAGCAAAAGTTGAAAGTTATTCTATATTACCTGAAGCGCAGAAGACGTCACTGGCCTTTTTAGTGTAAAAACTACTTTATCGCTGGACTATAGACAAGTTGTGTTTTTGTATTGGTATATTTAGCCATATCTTGATTTATTTTCCTATATTTGATTTTTGTGGGAATTGCTTTGCGCTTGGCAATACATGCTACTCAGGAATTTCTTTTATGTTCAAATTGTACTTTCTCTTTCGCTATAGTTTCACCTTCATGTTAATGACTCAACATTTTGTAATGGTGTAATTCTCGATGAGCTATCTCCTTTTAAATTCACCCGACTTGTAAATCGTCAACATTATTCAAGACTGCACTTTAACCCCGCTTACAATACGAAGTATATGAAGTTTGTAGGGTTGTAAATTACACTCAGAGGGCTTAAGATAGACCCACCTTATGGTTTGAGGTATCCACGTAATGTTGTGTTCAGCCTACAGGTTGCAGTGTTTGATATGTACTGCTGAAATTTGTTATATTGGCATCACACAGAGAAATGAAAATGGTTAGATCGGTCCCTATTTTCGACTGCTAGCCGGATTGCTTTATTTGAGCGTCCTCTCATATAATCGTTCCTAGGAAAACTTAATCCCTGTATGGTAAAAAGGAATCATTTTTAATATTTCATGGCAAAAACTAATTCATCAAAGTAAACTGATATTGAAATCAACCTTACCTAATTTGGACGCAGGTCTATTTTTTTGGATATCGCTTCATATAAGGAAATGTAAAGCTTTATACGCTAAAAGCGCCTAATAGTATTAAGTCTATTTTTTAGTTCTTCATGACGGAATCTTAAAAATACACCCGACTTTTTTTTACACACAAATATACCCGACCTATGGTAAATTTGGTGATTTTTTCTACATCATTACAAAAGTCTATACATTTTTTAAAAAACTGTGCACAAAACGTAATAAGGAAGTCCATGGTAAAAGCAGGGTGGAAATATGTCAACGTGGAAGATATTTTTAATATATAAGGTTATTTCTATTTTGCCCACATTTCATTTCGTTATTTATTTTCATAAAACCTGAACTAAGAAGCAGCCAATACAAAAATTTTGAATTCTCATTTAAAGCCATACATTTTAGAGCAGTTATACCGAGCGAGCAAAGAATTGTGCCTGGAAAGGACAAAACTAAACTCCAATAATAAAATAATTCAATTATGTCGATAAAAAACAGTATTAATTTCATATTGGGAGTTAATTATTATTAAGTTAGTCTAATAACCAAATAGTAAATAGTTATTCAACAACTCAACCGTTATGACTACCTTGTCTGGATTCAACGATTTTTATACAAACAACTAAATTGCTCTGCCGTTTCCGCCAAAACCAGTTCTCCACTTGCTAACGTAGATTGAGCAGAGAGATCACTAACTAAAATAAGCTCTAGTTTATACGCGTTGATCTTCATAGAACGATGTTGCCTTATTGAAATCGCGAAAGTATTTACACTATTTTAAATCTATGATTTTTGCTTTAAGATGATGTATACATAAATGCTTAGTGACGGGGCCAACATAACTGTTGCAAATATTATTAATCAGAAATAAGAGCACTTTAGCATAAGCGTTCTTTTCGCTTGTTCTTTAATTAGGTTACCAGTGGTCATATTTTTTTCTTCTGCTTTTATTTGTAATTTTTATTTGTAGTTAGTTATGACACTTCAAGTGAACGAACATATGCTGTTGTATATAGTCACATTACAATATATAGCATATATAATATGAGTTTATACCTATAGTACTCTATTGAAAGTGTTTAAACCTTTTTGCGTGCATAGACTTAGCAATGGGATCGGATGGTCAATAGACCAAAAATTATATGGTTTGTTGAAGCAGAATTACTAACACGTACAGAAATAGGAATTTTAATAGAGCTGCAGGAAATGAAGTCCCTAATACACACCTCGTCGGGCCAAAAATTTGTTTTTCGAAAATGGAGGTGTCTGAATTAATATGTATATGTATAATTAAATGATAAAACAGTATAATTTCTGTTGAATATACAGACCTTTATATTGAACGGGAAGAAATTTGGAAATTGTCAGTTTTAAACCTATGTTGTAGATTTCAATTTTACCATTCGCGCAACGTGCAAATTA